GCCTACTATATTGGACAGTACAGCTCTGAAGAGTTCAGAGAGAAGAGTTTTTGTTTGATCTGTAAAATGGGGATATAATCATCTGCCTCACAGGGCTGTCTGGAGCAAATAAGGTAATGAATGCGAATTTTACTCACATAAGGGAGACAGCAATGTGAACTGAGTAGGCTTATTCTTGTTGCTCTTTGCTAATATTTTTGTTTTATGGCCCTTGCTGGGCTGTTTCGATCTGGTTTGTTTAGATTTCTGTGTCTCTCATCAGACCCTGAGTTCTTTGAGGGTAAGAACCCAGTGAAGCTGTTTCACACCTGAATCCCCACAACCACTTGTGACTTGCTGTTCATTTTTGAGTGAAAAAAATGTCTGGAGTGCAGACGGGATTCCTGACAGCAGGATTTAAAGTGTATGGTGAAAGTTAGTGGGGACCAGAGATGTAGAAGCAGAGAGGAGAATGTAGGACAAATGGTGGTGAGAGAGAGCTAGGAACCCTGCTCCCCACGCTCTACATTCTAGGCTTATCCGGAGAAAGCAGGGAACCAATTCTTGATGCCAGGAATGCTTTCACACAAGTGGGTGTTAGGCTTGTGGGAGATTAATTGAGAAAGGCTGATCAGAGGAGAAGTGATCTACTCAACACATTTGGTTGTTCAGGAAGGTGAGATTGATCATATAATGCTCTGCCTAGACAGATGCTGTGGTTTCCTTTGATTGATGATGGCCAGGTTGAAGGTGATTCCTTAAACTCTCTATCCTTCTAAGCTTGTGCTCTTCTGGGAAGTAGAAGAGGGAACTTGGAAGATCTACAACAGGTGCAAGGGAGAATTGTTTTTTTTTTTTTTAACATTTTATTTATTTATCTTTAGAGGGGAAGGGAAGGAGAGAGAGAGAGAGAGAAATATCAATGTATGGTCACCTCTCATGCATTCCCTGCTGGGAACTGGTCTGCAACCCAGGCATGTGTCCTGACTGGGAATGGAAGCACGATCCCTTGGTTCGGAGGCCTGTGCTCAATCCACTGAGCTACACCAGCCAGGGCCTGTTTTTTTTTTTTTTTTAATTTAAAAGGAAAATTTAAACTGATTTCTGCTCAAATCCAAGAGTAATACAGGGGGAAAAAGAGAAGAGACTACTCTGATCTTCACCTACCCACTCTGATCTGTAGACTTGAAACTTCCCACCTTAACAGTGGTCCTCCTTTTTGGGGAGCCATGAAAGAAGTCATGAAAGGCTGTCTGCTTAGGCTCAGCCCTACACACTGGTTTCAGCAGCTCAGGAGAACTGAACTCAGAGCTAGTTCTGTGAAGGTTCTCAGTCGGGGCTTTTCAAGGTTAGGAGACTGCGGGATGTGGCATTTCCCTTCCCCACACACTTGAGCCAGTTATATCTGTCCCAAGAAGTAAGCTGGACTTGTGAGTGCTGTCAGCTCTGTGTTTAGCTGGAGTCTTCTCTTGGCCCATACATTTATTTATTCATTCTATTACAAGGTTCTAGCTTATTCTATTTTTAAGCATCTTACTTTTGTAGCACTTTATAATTTTTGTCAGGATTGATTGAATGTATATGTTTTAAAAATAATTTTAGATTAAAAAAATATATGTTATTGATTATGCTATTACAGTTATCCTATCCCCCCCTTTATTCCCCTCCACCCTGCACATCCCTTCCTACCTGCATTACTCCCCTTTAGTTCATGTCTATGGGTCATACATACAAGTTCTTTGGCTTCTACCTTTCCTACACTATTCTTAACTTCCCCCTGTCTATTTTTTACATACCATTTATGCTACTTATTCTCTGTACCTTTTCCCTCTCTCCCTCCTACTCCCCCACTGATAACTTTCCACTTGGTCTCCATTTCTGTGATTCTGTTCCTGTTCTAGTTGTTTGCTTAGTTTTTTGGGGTTTTTCTTTCTTACTTTCTTTCTTTTTTTTTAGGTTTTGTTGTTAATAGCTATGAGTTTGTTGTCATTTTACTGTTCATAGTTCTTATCTTCTTTTTCTTAGATAAGTCCCTTTAACATTTCATATAATAAGGGCTGAGTGATGATTCACTCCTTTACCTTGACCTTATCTGGGAAGCACTTTATCTGCCCTTCTATTATAAATGAAAGCTTTGCTAGATAGGGTCATCTTGGATGTAGGATATTGCCTTTCATGACTTGGAATACTTCTTTCCAGCCTCTTCTTGCCTGTAAGGTTTCTTTTGAGAAATCGGCTGATAGTCTTTATGGGAAGTCCTTTGTAGGTAACTCTCTCCTTTTCTCTTGCTGCTTTTAAGATTCTCTGCTTATCTTTGATCTTGGCTAATGTATGATGTGCCTTGGTGTGTTCCTCCTTGGGTCCAACTTCTTTGGGACTCTCTGAGCTTCCTGGACTTTCTGGAAGTCTATTTCCTTTGCCAGATTAGGGAAGTTCTCCTTTGTTAATTTTTCAAAAAAGTTTTCAATTTCTTGGTCTTCCTCTTCTTCTTCTGGCACCCCTATGATTCTAATGTTAGAACATTTAAAGATGTCCTGGAGGTTCCTAAGCCTTTCCTCATTTTTTTAAATTCTTGTTTTTTCATTCTGTTCTGGTTGAATGTTTCTTTCTTCCTTCTGTTCCAAACCCTTGATTTGAGTTCTAGTTTCCTTCTTGTCACTGTTGGTTCCTTGTAGATTTTTCTTTATTTCACAAAATGCAATCTTCATTGCTGCCTGGGTCTTCTTTATGCTTTTGAAGTGCCCAGTTACTTCCTGGGCATCCTGATAACCAGTGTTTTGAACTCTGCATCTGATAGATTGACTATCTCTTTGTCGCTTAGTTGTATTATTTATGGAGCTTTGATCTGTTCTTTCATTTGGGCCTTTTTGTTGTTGTTGTTGTCGTCTCAGCACACCTGTTATGCATAGTAAGGGGCAGAGCCTTAGGTGTGCACCAGGGTGGGGCAACCCATGTTGCTGTGTTACGATGCTCTGTGTGGCAGAGGAGTCTGAGAGGGAATAGTGCAGCTTGCTCTGTGATCTGCCAGTTTTCAGTCACTTCCCCAGCTACACACAAATTGGGCCCTTCTGGTGCTGATTCCCAGTGGGTGGACTTGTGTACATTCTAGAACCCTGTTGGTCTCTTCCAAGAACTCTCCTGAGGCTGGGAGTTTCTTCTGCCACCTCAACCCCCACAGGTGTTTTCAGTCAGAGGCTTTGAGGCTTTATTTCTCTGCACTGGAACCCTTGGTTGTGCAGTCTGTCTTGCTCACCAGTGTCTCCTCCCAGTTTATCTGCAAATGAATGTGGGACCGCTCAGTCTTCTAGACACCGCCTTGCCCGCTGCAGTCCTCAAGCTGCGGCCTTGACTCACGTCTTCTCCACCCAGCTGCCTGTCTCCGCCCTACCTACCAGTGTGGACGAATGTTCCTTCTTTAACTCCTTGGTTGTCTGACTTCCATACAGTTATGTTTTCTGCCAGTTCTGGTTGGTTTTTTGTTTTTAAATTTGTTGTTGTCCTTTTGGTTGTAGGAGAAGGCAGTTCATCTACCTATGCCTCCATCTTGGCTGGAAGTAGTACCTAAATTTTAGATTTTATTTATTTATTTTTAAAGAGAGGGGAAGGAAGAGAGACAAAGAGGGAGACAAACATTGATTGGGGACATGGCCAACAACCCAGGCATGTGCCCTGATTGGGAATCGAACTGGCAACTTTTCAGTTTGCAGATCGGCACTCAGTCCACTGAGCCACACCAGCCAGGGCTTATACATTCATTTTGTAATTTATCACTGATGCATTAGATATATTTTTTAGCTCTTACCTGTCATTATGGTACTAGGCAATGACGCAAGCTAGGATTATTCCTGGGTCCAGCTACTACTCTCACCGATCTCCTGAATGTTTTCTCTCAGCCCCAGGGAAGTGTCCTATATAGACCTTTCTAAAAAACTGGCACTATTCACTCAACTATTGCCCAGGGGCTTGTCCTCCCTCCCCAGGCTACAATCAAGGGTTGTTTAGTGGCTGCAAAGTCAGTTTTGCAGCTGGTTAAACATAATCAAGAAAATAAATAAATTTTTAGAAGCTCACATAATAACATAGAAAAGGGAAAAGGAATGCCAGTGACAAGGTTGTTTTTTTTTTTCTTATTTTGCTTGCTCTTGGGGAACTCCTGCTATTTGGGGGAGGTCACTGCTTGTTTGGATGATACTTTTCTTTACTCCTGAATGACCAGGTATCACTATCTGCACTCTGAGGGCTTGAGAGAGTACCCCTCAAGGGCTTGGCCAAATGAGGCAAGGTGAAGGCTTAACAGTAACATGGGAAGAGAACATGAGTTTTGGAGGCACCTAAATCTGGCTTGAACTTCCCATTCCATCACTTTATCTGACCTTGTACATATCCTTTAACTGCTTTGAGCCTCAGCTTCCTCATCTATAAAATAGGGATGATAATTCTGATCTTAGAAAGTTATGTAAGTAAATACAATGTATATGTAAGCAGCGGGAACCTATTAAGTTAGTGCACATTAAAGGCACAGGTGACTTTTATTTTCAAAATATTTGGTTGTTATCCAAAAGCCATACAATTCACACACATATAAAGTAGGTGACTTGCAGGTGGCCTATTCTGCATGAATTTTCAAAGGACCATTTATTGTTTCAGACTCTTGGCTTTATCTCAAACTAAGACACAGCAGCTTAATTTATTTTACTCTCCACACCTTCCAGTTTCTTTCTGAGAATCTTCCTCCTATAAAGAAACTAGGTTGTTAAACGATAGGAGAAGAAACTTCGAAGTACAACCTCGGTCTGAAAAAATCAGGTTCGTGGTCATCTATCTATTATAGACATCGCTCAGTCCAGCGGAGGGATATGGGGAAAAAGTCCCAGGAAATTTGAGAAAAGAGATGCTAAGGGGTGGAACGTAACAAAAACCGGAAAAGGCGGGGCTAACAATTGTAGTGTGGCCGGCGCTGTGCGGCCAGCGCTTGCTTTTCTGGAAGGCGGCAATTGGGTAAGTCGACGAGTGACGTAATAGCCACAAGCTGATGGGTTCAGACAGTCGCTGCGGAGTCTGCGCATCGGAAGCTGGTTGCCGCTGCAGCCGCCTGGAATTGTGGGGGTTGTGTCTACCCCTCGGCTGCCAGACGGGAAGCCGAAGGTAGGGGTGGTGGGGGCCGCCCGGCCCTGGAGCTGGGCGGGGGGGCTCAGGGTAGCACCCAGGCCTTCTTCTGCCAGCGGCCCCCGAGCCCTCCCAGAACTGTGCTGGGGTTCCCACACAATCCACCCCTAGTATCTTCAAAATGGGACGTCCACGTGGGCCCTGGGCTCCTCAGTAATGTCCGTAGATCTGTTCTCTCAGCCCAACGGCCGCTTTCCCTACTTTTCCCACTCATAACGTCTCTAGTAACCCTTCCTGAATGTCAGGAGATGAGGCAGTGCGGGTCTGAGACGGGCTTTTTGGCTCCGCATCTGTTACCGTTTCCTTTCCTGTTCCCCTCTCCCTGTCTCAGTTTGTGCCCCTGTCAAACGGCTCCAGTGGCTCCACATCTGTTACCGTTTCCTTTCCTGTCCCCTTCTCCCGGTCTCAGTATGTGCCCCGTCAAACGGCTCAACTTGTTCTTGGTTGAGATCTGTGCTGTCTCTTCACGATATGGAATTATGTCCTACCCCCATGGTATTTCCACTCCTATCTAGTGTTTTTCTTTGTCCCGGTAGAGAAAGATTTGCTTTAAAGGGGGGGGGGGGTACAGACTTTGGTTGTGTGGCAAATCATATTGAAGTATGTGCGTAGCCCCGGCCTCAACTCAGATGTTTCAAATAAAAAGGAGCTTGGGCACCTGCAATTCTCAGGTGGTTCTGATTCAGGTGGTCCCAAAATCCTCGCTTTGAGATTCTCTGCTTTGAAGACAAGACAATCACTTGAACCATGAGCCCCTTTCCTGTGACTTAAAGTGGGAAAAACCAGGGGTCAGGAAGTGCCCAACATTTGAGAAGCTTCCCTTTGCACTATTAAGAGGTGGAGGGCCACTTGGTGCCTTCAAAAAATACATCAAGGATGCATATGTAAGATCAGTTTTCTAATATTTTTTAATGCCTGGTTTCAATGAAACACAGCTGGCTTTCTGACCTCAATTAAACAAAACAAAATGCTTTGCGGTGGGGGTGGGGGGCGTTATATTAACCTAGACTATGTAGGGGGGAGGAAAATGAATTCTCCATGTTTGCTAAGAGAAGAAACTGATAATGTTTATAAGCACTGTTTGTTTTGACAGTGTAAAAGATGTTTTGTATCTGTCTTTTTAGCTCACCCCAAGCTTTTTTATTTTTTGATAAAAATATAGCCAGATTTAGGGATTGGTTAGGATTTTACTGGAAGCCAAGGCATGAGGGTATCAGGATTGATGTTTGTGTAACATGGATCAGGACATGGTTTGTGATTTTCGTTGAGAACATGGCTCTTAACTTTTTAAGGAAGGTATTGTCACATCTGATTTAATTTAACCTTTCTTCTGCATATTTAGTGAATTTAATCTGCTAATGCATGTTCTGATGAAATTGGCTACAGAAAAGACTGGTCCCATTTTACAGATGTGGGAACAGGGAATATGTTAGTAGCGATCAGGTAGCCCAGGAACAAAAGTTACCTTGTACTCTGATTCCTGCTTTTTTACCCTTTCTGCTGTCTTTGAAGACCAGCTATTACTTGCTTCTCTGCAGAGGCCAATGTTGAGCCTTGGTGTGTTTCACTTAATTTTCACCAGAAAATTAAGTGAAATCGAAAAGTTAACAAAATGGATTTTAAAATAAACATGCTAGAACTTAACCCTTCAATAAGTGTTGTTTTCCTTAGAGTAATATGTGTAGGTATGAGTGGTGGGGGTTGAGGGTGGCATCACTTACGTGATATGGCCATTTTCTAAAGCAGTTTTGAAAATTCTCTTCTGAAATGGTCTTCAGAGACATTAATACATGGCACCATACTGCATTAAAATTTTTTTAAAATTTCAAATGGCATGGTTAATAAACGTTACCCGACTTGTCTACAGATGAGTTAACGGTTCTTTTGAAGCGGACATAATGCTTTTTGGGAGTGTGGTAAAGTTTTGATTCTGAGTCTGTAATTTATTATCCATATGACCTTGGACAAGTTATTTCATCTCTTAGGCTTGGTTTTCCACTGCATAAAAATGGTGCCAAAAAGGCTGGTGATCACTGCTCTAGTGGTCCCCACCAGACTTGCATCTAGGGGATCAATGGGTGGTGGCAGCTCATCCCCAGCTAACTCTCTGAACCTGTGTCTAAGACCCCCCCTTTTTTCTGATTCTCCAGTTAGCTTGCCTTGGCTCACTTTTTCCCCATAATGTTCCTGGACAGCCAAAGCAGCCCTGCCTAGGCTCTCTCCTGTCACTTCTTCTATCCTAGACCCTTCTTGTTTCACAGTCCCCAGTTTAATAAACATACTCTCAAATTAAAAGAAGATACTTTGGCCCTGGCTGGTGTGGCTCAGTGAAGTATCGGCCTGCAAACCAGAAGGTTGTGGATTTGGTTCCCAGTCAGGGTGCACGCCTGGGTTATGGGCCAGTGTTTCTCTCCCTCCCTTCCTTCCTCCCTCCCTCCCTTCTTTTCTTTCTAAAAATAAATACATAAAATCTTTTAAAAAATACTTTGAAGAATGGTTAAAGGAGGTAATACATACCTCCTTTAGCTCTCGGGACATAGGAATGCAGTATCTGTTTTTACCATCAAAGAATGAAGATTTGCTATTAATGAGAATATTAAAAAATGGTAATCTCTAAAAGCAAGTCGCATCTTTTTCCACATAGATGATGCCTTTGAATTCTCTTCATTTTGTTTGTGGATTCATGCTCTTCTCATCTTGCCTCTTTTCTCCATTACATTCTATCTTTTTTTAAGCGAAGCTTTGCTGCAGAGGCTGTCTGCCTGTGTATTGGAGTAAGCCTCTTTTCAGGACGGCTAATCTCAGCATTTTTAGAGTGCCATCCCTTTGGTTGTGTATTCCTGGGGATTTTTTCTGGGGCCTCAGGTGGTGCTTAGATCATGCTCTGTAGCACAGGCTTCTTTAACTCCCAGATTTCATGTGTCAATTTGGAGATGTGTCCTTGCGGAGCTAATCTTTTTCTTTCTGAGTGAGTGAGGATGAATACTTTATGTTTTTGAGTTGGCTTTAAGCTGCCTTAGTCTTCCACAACACAGAGCTGCTTACATTAATTATATGTGGTGTAAGGGAATATTCTGCCCTTTTCTTTATTCGCTTTCACCAAGGGTTTCACTGCTGAGTAGGGGAGGAGAAAAGCCTTTTACTATTCAGGTGGGGCTTAGGGTAGCCTCTGATTCCCGGCATCAACAACAATTGAGTTTGCCTTTAGGACAAACACCTCTAAAAGATTCAGGCTGCTCAGGACACAGGAGAGGAATCTCCTAGAATTTTCGTGGTTGGTTAAGGGTTTACACCTGGTGTCCTCACTTATGCAATTTTCTACCTTCAAGACAGAATTCAATAGCAATATAACTGATTATGTTCAGCCCAGACTTGAGGTTTTTTCAGATTCCCTGAGGCAGCTCATTGACAAGGGCATGGTTGTGGTGGCTGGTCATATCTGCCCCCATTCTCTCTCTCTCTGTTATTTTTTTCCTGCTCTTTGCTTTTATTAGCATTTATGCTGAATTTATTCCTGGGCTCTAAGTTTTTTGTTTCTTCAGTTTTGCCTGGGATATCTTTTTCTTGTGTGCAAAATCTTCTGGTTTAGGAATAATGTGCCGTTTTTCAGTAAGGATCATCACAATGTGGCAGGGAAAACTGATATATGGGTTAATTCATTCATGAACCATGTAAGTTCTGTGCTCCATCTTGGGAACTTGTTTACGTGGATATGCTCAATAACCAGAGTCTGCATCTAAATCCCTAAATTCTGCATTCTTAAGCATGTGCAGCAGAAATTTAGCACTCTTTTTGGGCCACTGGCCCTGTATCCAGCCCCACTGTTTGGCCTGGGTATGCCCACCAACTCTACCATTGTAGTGATGGAATGGCCATATTACTTCTGTAAAGTAATATCTTTCAGATACTTGATAACTTTTGTATACCCTTGATTGTCTTGCCCTCGTTCTCTTAATAGTGCCCTTGGCTTTGGTGTTTGAAGCATTGAGAAGTGTCTTAGTAAGTTATGAGTTGCTATAACAATACTATACAGTGGGTAGCTTAAACAACAAGCATTTATTTCTTACAGTTATGGAGGTTGGCACAGCCAGGGTCTTGATGAGGTCCCTCTTCCTGGTTCACAGCCATCTTCCTGCTGTACCATCACATGGCTCAGAGTAGAACGAGCTCCTGTCTGGTCATCTGTCCATAAGGACACTAATCCCATCATTGGGCTTCACTTCACCCACGTGACCTAATCTAACCCTAATCACCTCCCAAAGGCCCACGTCCAAATACTATCACATTAGGAATTAGAGCTTCAACATATGTATTTGGGGACAGACACAAACAGCCCATAACAAGAATGAAGTGGTATAGGCAGTGAAGGAGTAAAAATTTCCATGCCAATGCCTGAGCCTAGTGCTAGGCCAATGGCATATTTCAGTCTTGGCTCAGGAATGCTGCTGAAATGATATAAATCCTTCATGACATCCATCATGTTTCTTGGTGTTGCCTCATTTGTGAAATTTTAATGCCCTTATTGATCTCTTCTATAAGGAAGGTGAACAATCATCTAGTTTTCCCAGGACCGAGGAGTTTCCAGATGTGGGACTTTAGTGCAAAGTCTGGGGCAAACCAGTACAAGTTGATCATCCTACCCGTGACTTACGAACATTAGTGACTGTCCTTATGGAAACTGAGTCTGCCCTTTGTATTCTACATTGTGTTTTTTAAACTTTTGTTCTGTGTCACTTTTTGAGACTTTTCCTAATTGGCACGCACCAACCCCCAAACCAACTGAATTTTAATACCACAGATATGTTGTGTACCTGTTTATGTACTTTGGCCCTTTGGAAGGCTACAAACTGTTTTCATATCTAAGATTTTTCTTCTCCAACAATCAATTTTCACCCTCTTGGGGTTGATATTGTCCTCACTGAGAATGCATGTCTTATATCCTCTCAGACATCAAGGCTTGTTTTTTATCTAGTAGATCC